GGTTTCACAAACACTTCTAAAAATAGGCCAATCACAACGCTGATAAAAGAGAGTAAGGCAATTTTGGTGTTTAAAGAATAGTGATAACTTATAACCAAAATTCCCCACAAATTAAATACTCTCATGAACACACATTCGCACAACGTCGCTATGTTTCGGCGCCAAGTTGCAGGGTAGGAGTGGGACAATGCTTATTTTGTTTATGAAGTCATGATTCGTTCATGGAAACAAATATAATTGCGCGTTGAATAATGAACATAGACACAAAGAGGAAGGTTCTCTCGTATATACATATGCGGCGGTGGGAATGGAAACACAATTTATTTATTATTACTACTATTATTCCTCCTGGAAGTGTATTTGGTTTTCTAAATCATTATACTAATCGATTCTACCTTTCTTGAAGAAGCTCCGATGCTTCGTTTATTCAGCTATCCACTTGCCCGTTTCAGAACTAGAAAACAGTATTATATTATACAATTGGCAATCATGCAGCATTTCCATGCCAGCCTTGTAATCGTCCTCTGCAGTGCCCGCCAGCTCCTGCTCCGCGCTTTCAACAGCTCCTTCTACTTACTCATATAAGACTCACTCACAGCATCGATCAAAGCATCAATCTACTCTAGCTTTTCCTTCTATACGTCTCTCCAAATCAACATCCATCAGTACTGTTATAAACGCGCTGCTACGGATCGGGAAATCGCCGGAATCGACAAAAAAAGAATACGAAAGCGAGAATCGAAAAAACACAGACACACGATTTACGTGGTTCACTAACACGATGTGTGTTAGCTAGTCCACGAGCGAGAGAGAGCCAGTTTCACTATATCGAGGAGATTACAGATTACAAAGGAGTATGAGAAGTATTTATAGTACTTCTCCATGTGGGTATAAAACTAATCCAATCTAGCAAAGGAAACGGTTACAGACCAGGCCTAGAACCCGGTCAGCGAGACCCCCGATTACCAGTCGTAGCGGCTGATAGTCCGATTCAAGTCACATCAACAAATCTCCACCTTGACTTGAATCCTCTTCCTCTGAAATCTCTTAATGTACTCTGCTCCTTCTCTCTCTCCCGCCATCAATGCCCCGCAGGGCGGAGTCACCCACTCAAGACATTCAACAAGTCCAAGCAGTGTTGGAACTTGCCATGTGGAACCGGCTTCGTGAACAAATCAGCAGGATTATCCGCGGTGCCAACCTTCTTCACCTTAATCCTCTTCTCTGTCCTCAAGAAATGATACCTCACGTCGATGTGCTTAGTCCTCTCATGGTGGACTTGATCCTTGGCCAAGCATATTGCACGCAAACTGTCGCAATACACCACTGCCTGATCATGATGTAGACCAAGATCACCAACCAGTCCCTTCAACCATATTCCCTCCTTAGCAGCTTCTGTCAACGCCATATACTCTGCCTCACTAGTAGATAATGTCGCCGCCGACTGCAGAGTTGCCTTCCAGCTCACTACAGAACTTCCAAGAGTGAATACATAACCGGTCATCGATCTCCTCGTGTCAACATCTCCAGCATAGTCCGAGTCAGAATACCCAGACACCAAGCACTCTATATCACTTCCGAAGATAATCCCCACATCAGGTGTACCCTTAAGGTACCGGAAGATCCTCTTCACAGCCTGCCAATGCTCCTTTCCAGGTTGTATCATGAACCTGCTGACAACACTAACAGCATGTGCAAGATCAGGTCTAGTGCATACCATAGCGTACATCAAGCTACCTACTGCACTAGCATATGGGACTTTCGACATGTACTCCTTCTCAGCCTCTGACTGTGGTGCATAAGCTGAGGATAGATGAACATTTGAAGCACTAGGAGTATTTAAGGGCTTTGCTGAAGACATGCCAAATCTCGACAATATCTTCTGGATGTAGCTCTTCTGTAACAAGAAAAGCTTCTTCTTCGACCTGTCCCTCTAAATCTCCATACCCAAGATCTTCTGAGCAGCTCCCAAATCCTTCATCTCAAACTCAGCACTGAGAAGCCCCTTTAACTTCTGGATATCAGACTTTGACCTCGCAGCTATGAGCATATCATCCACATACAGAACTAGATATATCATCGAACCATCCTCTGCCTTGTTGTGATATACACAATAATCATATGGACTTCTGTTGTAGCCAGCTCAAGCATGTAACTATCAAATCTCTTGTACCACTGCCTCGGAGATTGCTTAAGTCCATACAAGGACTTCTTCAGCTTACAAACATAGTCTTCTTTTCCCGGAACCTCGAATCCTTCTGGCTGAGTCATGTAAATTTCTTCTTCTAACTCTCCATGCAGGAAAGCTGTCTTCACGTCTAGCTGCTCGAGCTCCAAGTCATAATGTGTCACTATTGCTAGTAGCACTCTGATCGAAGTATGTCTGACCACTGGTAAGAAAATCTCATTGTAGTCAACTCCTTCCCTCTGCGAGAAGCCTCGTGCAACCACCCGAGCTTTAAATTTCATGCCCTCTTTTGAAGTGATTCCTTCCTTCTTCTTGTAGATCCACTTGTTTGTAACAACCTTCCTTCCCTGTGGTCGTTTGACTAGCTCCCAAGTCTGATTCCTGTCATGGGATTCCATCTCATCTCCCATTGTGGCAAGCCACTGATAAGCTTCGCCACCCGAAACTGCTTCTCTATAGGACTGTGGCTCACCTACATCCACTTCTTCATCAACCTGAAATGAATACGCCACCATGTCCTCGAAGCCATACCTCTGTGGAGGTACTCTTGCAGTCGCTCTCTTCGGTCTACCGGAAGCAATAGACTGTTTAGCTCGTGCACTGGACTCTGAAGTTTCTGGCTCTGCAGAGACATCCTCATCATGTTGATCTTCTCCACCTTGGTGCTCAAACTCACTCTCATTGAGAGTTTGCAGCTCCACCTGCTTATCAACATTCCCGCTACCTTCAACAACAGTAACCTTCAACATGGGGTTAAACATAGACTTCTCATCAAATATCACATTTCGGCTGAGTATAACCCGGTGCTCAGAAGATGACCAGACTCGAAATCCCTTAACTCCATCTCTGTAACCCACAAATACACCCTTCTTTGCCCTTGGGTTCAGTTTACCCTCATCCACATGATAATAAACAGGACACCCAAAAACTTTCAGTGAAGAGTAATCAGCAGGCTTACCATACCACCCCTCATAAGGAGTCTTCCACTCGATACCTGTGTGAGGTCCACGGTTCATCAGGAAGCACGCCATGTTCACTGCTTCTGCCCAGAATCTTCTCTCTAGTCCAGCATTAGAGAGCATGCACCGTGCTCTCTCCAACAATGTATGGTTCATCCTTTCTGCAACGCCATTCTGCTGGGGTGTATCTCTAACAATCCGATGACAGGCAATCTCTTCATCCTTGCAGAATTCGTTGAACTCAGAATTACAGAACTCCAGACCATTGTCCGTTTGCAGCTTCTTGATCTACTTCCCGGTCTGATTCTCCACCAATGTCTTCCACTGCTTGAACTTCGTGAAAGCCTCACTTTTCTGCTTCATCATGAAAATCCAAGTAAATCTCGAATAATCATCAATAATAGACAGAAAATACATGCTGCCTCCAATGGATTCAACTCGTGAACGACCCCAACAGTCGGAGTGGAGGTAATCCAGTATCCCCTTCGTCCGGTGGATACCCTTCTTGGGAAACTTGATGCGATGTAGCTTCCCAAACACACAATGCTCGCAGAATTCCAAATTCTGCACCTTGTGCCCGCAAAGAAGATCCCTCTTCGACAGAACTTGCATCCCTCGTTCACTCATATGCCCCAGTCTCATGTGCCAGAGAGTGGTCATATCTTCCTGATGAACCTGAGACGATGCAACTGCAGCAGAACCAGACAACACAGACCCTTGTAATGCATACAAGGTCCCACGCTTCACGCCCTTCAGTACCTTCCTCGAACCCTTGCAGACATACACAACTCCACCTTTTCCTTTGAAGCTGAAGCCCTTTCTGTCGAGTAGACTCAAGTAGATCAGGTTCTTTGTCATTCGTGGAACATGCCTGACATCATTCACGGTACAGAACGAACCATCATGTGTCCGAACCTTTATGGACCCGATTCCAACAACCTTGCAGACAGCTCCATTGGCCATGACCACGTTACCACCATCTATCTGCTCGTAGGTTCTGAAGCAATCCCTGTTTGGAGACATATGGTATGAGGCTGCATTATCCAGAAACCACACATCCCCACGATGTGCCTTCTCATCTACAGCCAAGGAGAGATCGTCTTCAGAACTGTTGTCCACTTCTGCCACGGCAACTGAACCTTATTTCTTCTCTTGCCCTCTTCTCTTGGGACAGTTGTATTTCCAATGCCCCACTTCCTTACAGTTGTGACAAGCATTACCTGGCTGTGGACCGGGACCCTTGGAATTCTTGCTCGAATTCCCTTTACCAGATTTCTTCTTTCCCTTTCCACCTGTAACAACCAAACCCGATGTCTCACCACCTGTACCAGATCCGGATGCCTTATGCCCGATCTCTCTCGTATGAAGAGCAGACCTGACATCCTCCAACAACACGCTTTCTTTACCAGCAATAAAAGAATCAACGAAATTCTCATATGAACTCGGCAAAGAAACCAGCAGGATTAGGGCAGCATCCTCGTCATCAACTTGAACATCTATATTACGCAGATCCAGCAAAATAGAGTTAAGCTGTTCGAGATGTTCCCTCAAAGGCGTACCTTTTTAAATCCTCAAGCTGAACAACCGTTGCTTGAGATGCAGCTTGTTGGTTAAGGACTTCGTCATATACAGACTCTCCAACTTTAACCACAAGTGCGTGGCAGTCTTCTCAGCAGCGACTTCAATAATGACGTCATCAGACAACGATAGCATGATGGTCGACTTCAATGATGACGTCATCAGACAACGATAGCATGATTGCCCCTGGACCCCACTCGCTGACCGGGCAGCGAGACCCCCGATTACCAGTCGTAGCAGCTGATAGTCCGATTCAAGTCACATCAACAAGTACCAACTTGTTCATTAGTTTCTCCCCGAAATGTCGGCGTCTCTGTCTTTGGCGATACTAGTGTTGTTGGGCCATTTGATGGCCACATCAGAGGCCAATTTCAACCAGCATTTCGACGTGACATGGGGCCATCACCGCTCCCAGATCAAGGACGGCGGCCAGCTCCTGACGCTCTCACTGGAGAAGGATTCTGGAGCAGGATTCCAGTTCAAGAACCAGTACCTCTTTGGCAGAATCGATATGCAGATCAAGCTTGTCGCCGGCAATTCTGCTGGCACCGTTACCACTTTTTATGTAAGTCATCATGATGCATGTTGATCGCTTCTAATTCATGTGCATAGCTAGGTAATCATTTCCTATAAGTGGCCAGAAGATATAAACTTGTTTTTTTTTCTTTTTTTTTCTTCCGCAGCTATCCTCCCAAGGATCAAACCACGATGAAATCGACTTCGAGTTTCTCGGAAATTCCTCTGGCAATCCTTACACTCTTCACACCAATGTTTTCAGCCAAGGAAAAGGAAACCGGGAACAACAATTTCATCTTTGGTTCGACCCAACCACTGCTTTCCACACCTACACCATTCTCTGGAACTCTCAGCGAATCATGTAAGTCCTAATTCTAACAGAAAGTAATTGATTATCTCACAGCAACCAATCTGCTAAGATTGGAGTAGGTACTATAACTTATGGGGTTCGACGAATTGAACTTTGCCCATTGTGTACGTATCCGCAGATTCCTAGTGGACAACATACCTATAAGAGTGTTCACGAACATGAAATCACAGGGAGTTCCTTTCCCTAGTAAGCAGCCAATGAGCATTCACTCCAGCTTGTGGAATGCGGATGAGTGGGCAACTCAAGGAGGGCGGGTGAAGGCTGATTGGACCAACGCTCCATTTGTGGCTTCTTACAAAAACTTCAAAGTAGAGGCATGCATCTGGAAGCCGGCGTCCGCCTCCTCTACTTGTTCACCGGGAGCTAGGCAAACTCAAGGATTGGACGCTGCTGGTCGGAATAGAATCCGATGGGTGCAAAGCAAATATATGATCTATAACTACTGCTCCGACCTTAAGCGTTTCCCTCAGGGTGTTCCCTATGAATGCAAACAATCTAGATTCCTCTAAATTTAAGGTGCATGGAACAACAAATGGAGCCGACACAACAGATCAATTATATCCTCAATGCTTTCTTTATTGTAATAAATCCGCCACATTATCATGTGTATTTTTTCATTTATCTATAAAGTGATATAAATTTACATTTTCTAGTAATCAGTCCATCATTTTTATTATCGACACAACAGACCATTTTTATTATCTTCACTTCTTAGAACGTCTTCAGTGATTTTTTTTTTTTTTTGGTAGAAGTCTTCAGTGATTATTGATTTGCCCATTTTAAAGAAGTATATATATATATATAATAAAGTTATCCATATAATAATCATTTCTCAAAATCCACTCACTGCTGTAAAAAAAAAACTATATTTCAGAAAATAAATTCGAACAAGTTTGAGGAAGATTTTAGCAAAACAACCACTTCGCCTCCCGCCGGCAGCAACCAGCCGTAATGGATTAGTCACCGGCTGACGGAGTGTTGAACTGAGAAAGGTGACTCATAATAGGCAAACGCAGGGCCTTGACTGCTGTTGCGAAAGTTAACCGTTATATACCACAAATTACACTGATCAGAAAACGGACAAATCAGAGATCCCCTGCATCAGCAAACCATTACCGCCGTTCCCCTGCATTGGCAAACCTAAGTTAGCAATCCTCTGTCTGTACTAAATGCCACAAAAACTTCCTGCATTGGCCACAAAAACTTCCCCAATCATCCCTATCACTTCGCCTTGGTTCCCGATTTACAACATCAAACCCTACCTACACCTTCATCTTCTTCACTATAGATGACTACTCAAAAAGAGACCGGTATCCTATGGAGTAGGAGTAATTCCTCTTCCCTATTGCGACCAATAATCAGTCTTGCAAACCTATCTAAAGTAAACAACCCTTCGGTTTGTTCCGACTTCAAATAAAGCTTCACCTTGAAAGGAAAGGGATAGGGCTTTTCGTTCACTTCTGTCAACTTCATGCACTCATGATCACCTTTGCTGCAATTAATGATATTCAAGAAAATGAGACACATTAATAGAACTGAAATCGCCAAGATAAAATTTATTTTAGCTAAAGCTATGGTATTATGAGACTAGGGGAATTTGATTGTTTCGATCTTAAAGCTGAAGTGGCTGCTGAATAAAACTATTGCATACAACAAGTTAATCACCAGATAGGGGTTTGTTTCCCACTACTCCATTAGGGGTTGCGGTTCCATTTTCGAGTACAACTAATGATGAAACATTGCATGATGGTAATAAAAAACAACCAAAAAAATCGGAACAGGAATCCAATATAGAGCTTACCGGACAACACCGACGACACCCTGTCACGTGGCTTTTCCTTAAATCTTCGCAATACTTTAGCTTATGCCCGATCTTATGGAACTGTTGATGCTCAGAGATAGTTTCAAAACTATTCAAGTGGGGGATTGTTGGGATGAATAGCTTTGAAAAGCTATAAATGAAATTCCTAATTAATTATCCAGTATTTTCCCATAATACGAAAATAAGATGGATAATTAATAAAAGGAATATTATGGAGATAATTAGGAATAATTATCTTCATGGATTATATTTTAATTGTGGGAGTAATTATCTCCCTAATTAAAATATGACTTATTCCCAAAGAAAGAGGGAATATTCTGGGTTTTCTGCTCCTATAAATAGGAGACGCCTCAGACCTCAAAGGGCAGAAACACGAGATAGAGAGTGAGTTCATAGAGCTCCGGTTTTCGCACAAAACCGATGAGCAACAAATTTAGAGTGGCTGTTTTATCCTGGAGGCGACCGGCTGATAGTCTACTGTGCGAATAACGAGGCAGTGCCGCGAACGTCTTAAAGAGAGCGACCTAGTCCGCGACTCAGCCAGATCGGTAACCCTAATTTTTCTGTTCGGTTTCTAACAATTTTAAGACGTTTGGTTGCTGTCGTTATGTACCGAACAGGATACCGATTCTGGGTTGAGCGATTTTCATCGCCCATTGCCTTACCGTACTTGCCGGCGGTCATTGGCACCGAGATTGTTTTCAATAGTAAAGTGACGCCGTCGTTGAGCAGAAGGAGAAGCCCTCGGACAATCTGATGTCTCGATTTTCGGAAACTGATAGGAATCCGTTCTTGTTTTCCGTCCTCCGGTGGATCGAGCAACTTCGTCCTGGCCGCTCTGTCCCGAAAATTAGAAGAGGCGCGATTATTTGGAAGGACTGAAAGGGTTGATCGTAACCACATCTGATGGAATTTCGTCACTTCTCATTACAAAAAAACCCACTTTTAGCGACGGAATTCGGCGCGACGGAGCAGAATTCGTCGCCAAAAGAGATCATTCAGCGACGAGATTATGTTAGTCGTCGCCATTTGAATCAAGATTTTCGCCTAAAAAAAGTAGGCTGGCGAAACGCTTTTTGCGACGAAATTTGACTTTACTGCGACGAATTTGTGGCGTCGCATAATGATGAGAGCATCCGCGATGAATCCTAACGTCGCAGAAAGTTTTAAATATTTGAGCGACGACCTTCTCCGTCGCAGAAGTAAATTAAAAAAAAAGGTAAATTGGCCGGGTGTAAGGGCTGGAAATGACGCCGTTTTGGCTTTGGTTTGGGCCCAGTTCGCCTCTTATCTTCTTTCCAACCCTAGTCACGCCTGACGCCTCCCTTCTCACCGCACAATCTCCTTCCTCCATCACCGCCTCCCCAGTCAGGAAGACCAGACCTTCCTTTTCCTTCCAAAAACCTGCCGCCATCATCGTCCATTACTCGGCCTTTGTCCCTTCAAAATGGAGATAGAAAATCAATTCCTTAATTAGATCAGCTCCATCCTTGCCGGCCTAATTAGCCACATCGAAGTGGGTGTCATTGTTTTGCGATTACCTCTTCCATCCCCATCGCCTTCTCAACTATCGGGCTCATCGAGCGAACGACGAGATTCATCGATCGATAATCTGCAGGGGTCAAACTAGTGTATGGCTTCGTGTAAGAGAATATCCTCCCGCCCGCGACGAGATTCATCGAACGATAATCTGCAGGGGAAAACTAGCGTCTGGATTTGTGTAAGAGAATCTCCTACCACCGGCGTATTCCCTAATTAACCTCGTAAGCGTCTGTTTAATTCTCTTAGTGTTAGGTTGGCCGGTGGCGGTGCTGGCGATGGTGATGTTAGTGGGGGAAATTGAAGTAGGTTGGAGCTGCTGGAGAACGTTTTGGACTAGTGAAGCTCAAGAGAAAGGTGAGCTGGGATTTACTTTCTGATGGTGATGTTCTGTTTGGATCTTGTTGATGGTGGCTAAGAATTTAGTCTCTGCTAATGTTCTGTTTTGCTCCTGTTAATCTATGTATATGTTTCAATGTGATCTAGGGATCAATTAGTTCTAGTCCTCTACTGAGTCCAGTCAACATAACAGTTAAGAAATCCTTGATATTACCCCATTCATAGTAGAGTTTACGTAACCTTATTCAGCCAAAATTGTAAGACAATCATTTCTTTCATAAACATTTTGGTTTTGCTAGTATGGTTTCTGATGAATCTATGATTGATATCTTGCTCTCTCTTTGCTTTCAGGTGTGAGAATGCATGAAGTACAAGTGGAATCCAGTAGTCATGAACTCCCAAGCAACTTCTATTAAGCAACGAAAATGTGGAGATGGATATCTTGAAGTTTCCATGACAATACAATTGAATGGTTTGCTTGATCTCTGTTTTCTGTCCATATGTTGCGTTCAGTATGAGCTGTCACTTATTTTGTAGACCTCCTATCCACCACTTGATTTCTATGTTAAGGGATTACATTATGTTTTTATTTCAGCATTCTGATAGGCTTCTTGATAAACATTCATTGAACCCGTCAATTGGTGCCTTCATTGGATGATGCAGCCAGTCAACGTACAAATGCTGAGTAAAGATGTTGCTGCTCTGTCAATGGATAAGAAGTTCACCAGGAATTTCCCAAGACAGGTTTGTGAATTGTCCGTGGATTGTTCTATGAGGATTGAATTCTTTTACCATGATTGAATTGCCAAAATTGTGTTTTATATTTTTCACTTTGTGTTCACGGGGTCAGTAATGAAAGGGAGGTATTTGATGATGGTGATAATGGTCGTTTGCCCACAAGGAAATAGAAAAGACGCAAATATTAAAAGGAGAAGTGGTTCTTGACTTAGAACTACTTAGAAATTATATTTTGCTTATTTGCTTAGTCTTCAACTATTAACTCTCCCTAGATACTGGTTTCTGAGATTCTGGATACTTGTTTTGGTTTAACTGGAATAAAGAAAATGAAAAGGGCTTTGTTTTGGGAAGGTCTAGTATAATGGATAAGGTCGGCCAGTGGGTTAATTACTTAATTGGGGGAAATGCTTTGTTGATTTAGAACTTAGCTAAGTAAACCTATATCTTAAATTTGCATATTTAGAACTCCATAGTTAAATGAGTTATCATGATAACTGAGATTATTGTTTTTGATTGGTTATGTTTTGCAGATTATCTACTACAAGCCGGATATTTTGACATGGGTCAACAAGTTCATCGTGAACATTGAATGTTTTTGTATAGTTTAGTGTATAGTATCAGGTTATGGACGATGATTGATGAACAAGTCATTAGTCAATGTATAAGTTTACTCATGTAAAGAAGTTATCGAATATTACGTGTTGGTACTCCATTATGAAATAAAGTTCTATCATAATTATGTCTAATTTATATTAAATTACTTGTTTGATGACAAGATAACTGAAAACTATTTCCAGAGTCATTTGGGACGATGCTTCCATCGCAAAAAATTCTATTTGCGACGACCAGTTTCGTTGCTAAAGGATTTTATATGATTGTTAAAATAGTTTTGTGCGACGAGATATTTTCGTCGCTGAAAGTTTTGATAACTGCGACGATAGGTTTCGTCGCGAAAGTGTATTTTCTGCGACGACACTTCCGTCGCGTTACGCTAGTCTCTTTTGCGACGGTAGTGATTTTTTGCGACGATGCACCATTTTCCGTCGCTGAAACTTAGCGCGACGCGGTATATTCGACGCATGGCAAACAGCTTTGGCGACGACAGTTATCGTCGCTTAAAGTTTCTACGACGGAATTCTGGACCTTTGGCGACGAAAATTTCCGTTGCTAAAAGGGATGTTTCTTGTAGTGTCTCAAGAGATTACAATTAAAGCTACATGTGTCGTCGCTTAAAGTTTCTACGACGGAATTCTGGACCTTTTCCGTTGCTAAAAGGGATGTTTCTTGTAGTGTCTCAAGAGATTACAATTAAAGCTACATGTTCGAATGGATCCTTGGAATCACGAAACGCGAAGAAGAAATTAGGAGCAGCCACAAAATCAAGATCGGCTCAAACGCTACGCATAAAAGAAAGATGCATGAAAAACCAAAGGGTGACGATGATTTTGTGCCATCAATTCCGTCTTTGTCCGTTTGATTGTTCATATAAAATTAATTTCTCTTGTCCATAAGTCCCAAGCTTTTATGCTTGCGTTGGGGAAAAGGAGAGGTTTTTTGTTTTGGCTTTCTTTGCTACAGGGGCATGGTGGCGGAAGGTGAAGAGGCACAGGTGATATACCTAGGTCATCTCCTTGCTAATGCTCCCAAAACGAGAAGAACCGAAAGGATTATCGAGAAGGATTGTAGCCCAGGAGAGGAATTCGGAATGTCGTTTTTTTTAATTCCTTATGATCAAATTAATTCATTTAATTGGCTTCATAGCTGCGGAATCAAGCGAATTGTGCAGGAGTTGCAGCTTGAGGCGATTGAGGGAAGAATGAAGAAAGGGCTTTCTTTCTTTCTTGGGACCGTCTCGAAAGAAGGAGAATCCACGCTGGGAAAGGGCGAGGTGCGAGCCCGCGACTTCTCAGTGGATTAACTGGACTCCTTTTGCCCAATCAATTGGATTGGGCCCATTATAATATCATTAAATTGGCTTCAGAGCTGCGGGAAAGATTTTCTTGGAAAAGCAGTGGGAAGAATTAATTAATTGGACCGGAGCATGATTATTTCATTAAATTGGAGCGGCGGGATTAAGGAGCTGCGAGCCTACTACGAAATTGAGTACTTCTAGATTGCCAACTCGGAAGGAAGAGTCCCGTTCGGCAGTGACAAAGTTCCAAACCAGGCTGGATTGGAACCGATTAGACGTTCAACACGAGAGCAAAGAATGAAATGTCTTCTCCGAAATGAGGTAGGAGTTGAAACCTTCCTCACGAGTCATGAATGATAAAAGTAGAATCTATTTTATATATTATTATGCATGCATTGAGATATCTTGAGAATGCGAGAGAGATTGAGTATTGATGCATGATTATGTTGACATTGAGATGTACTTTTCTCAATGATTAGAGGATAAATTTGAATGCATGTTATGGAATAGAGTAATTTTGTTTACATGAGTGTATATGAAGAATATATGGGAATAGAATGGGTTAATTGCCCATAGTGACGATATTGTAAGAAATACTGTTGTCAGTACTAGATGAACCACTGAGGCTGCTCTGAAACATTAAAGTTTCAAGAATGAGAGCAGCAAGCCGAACCAGATCCATACCAAATAGAATGGTACCCTTTGTGGTAACCATAAGATTGTCACCCAATCCTCTAAGAATGACGTTATGTTTCTCTGTTAAATTTGTGAGAAACTAGGTCATAAGAGACGAAAGTGTAAGAACAAGTTTAACCTAGTGTTAACTTGACTAAAGAAGAGGATTTGGTAATAATATTCACTGAGGTGATGACAGAGGTTAGCCTTAATGGTAACTCTGAAGAATGGTTGTTGGATAAGACCACTTCAAGATATGTGTGTGATAAACGAGCTAAGCTCAATCATACGCGTATTGAAGGAGAAAGTGTTGTTGGGCAAGACCCTCACCACTATTGTTGATGGTTCTGGAAAAGTGGAAGAGAACCCTGCCTCTAGAAAGTCATTGACTATCCTAGATGTAAGGAATGGTTAAGTAGATAAGATAAATTCTTCCAAGTGTGTCTATGTGAAGAATTAGAATATCTTATATCGCATTCCCATATTATTATTGAATGCTTGAGAAAAATATGAATTTTCTATATCCAAGCTAAATGACCCATAAATATGTGACTAGAGAATCAGAATAAATAGATCTGATTTATGTGGGTAAACTTGATGGAAAAGACAATAAATAATTTATTGCTCTTTAGAGTGCTCTAATTTTCTGAGTAGTTATTTGAAATGGTTTGAAATGCCTAATTGCATTATGATTGCACTGATTATTCGATATGTGGCATGCATGTGGTAGCATTAGAGAATCAGTGTAGCATGACAACTAGAAGAGCATATGAGTGTGTTTTATGTTGTCAACAATAAAAACACATAGTTCCTATGAAACGAAATACTCATGTTGTTGTGAAATCCATTGATGCCAATAAACTTCCATTTTAAATAAAGAAATAGTGGGGGTAGTGTCCTGCCTACTATTAGAAATAATGGAACTAGTGGGGGTGGTGAATCTGAGTATGAACTCAGAAGAAGCAAACGAACCATAACTCGATAAAGGATTTTGGTTATGAGTTTGTTATTTACACCCTAAGAAAGATCCTACAAGTCTGCTAGAAGTTCAAACTTCTGTAAGGTGCAGATTTGTGGGAGAATCCATTATTAACGAAATGGAATTATTGGAGTCTAATAGACTTAGAATCTTGTAGAGTTACGTCTTGGCTGTAAAGCCTTGGGTAATATATCGATAGAATCGAACAAGATTTCGCATCTATGAGAATTACCTCTTGGCAATGAAGCCATGGGTAATAAATGGATTCTTAAAAAGAAAAACTAAAACCTAATGGTTTAGTTTATGAGTATACGGATCGCTTAATAGATAAGATTTAAGCGAAGAGGAAAAATTGTAGATTTCTTCGATATCTACTCACCAATATGTAGAGTAACATCCATGTATGATATTATTGCTCTTGTTGTGCATCAGATGGATGTTAAACCTATTTTTGTGAATGGTGATTTAGATAGAGAAATGAGAAATCTTCATGGGATAACCTATAGGGTTGTTATTCCTGAACATGCTTATGGAGTCTATAGTTAGACAAATCATTGTAGGATTTGAAATAGACTCACAAACAGTGGCATGAACAATCGAGTTCTCTCTCATGGTTTTAAAATGAAAGTGACAAGTGCATTTAGTACAAATTTGAGAATGACACTTCGATCTTTGGTACAAAGACTCGTCATGTCAATATTATGAAAAACCATGTTGTTTGAGAATTATGAAGGTAAAAAGATCTGGATGAAGCAAGTGTTATGCTCGGAGATCCAGATTACTAGGACAAGGAAAGAGATTTCATCTAGATCAGTTTAACCACAAAGTTAGATCTAGAGGAAATACGAGTTCTACACCTGCATAAATGTTTGATGGTGCTAGTATAATTTTTAAGAGCACCAAAGACGGTGTAAGAAAGTAAGAACATACTAGCATCGACAGTCTGCGAGAGGCAGCTGATAAACATGAGACCCGACATAGTGGGGGTACTTGGCAGGCTTACTGATTGTCCTAGTATGAAGCATTGAAATGCTATTGAAAGGGGTCATGAGACACCTTAAAAGAACAGGAAAAACCTTGGTATTTGTTATGAAAGGTTTTGCTGTATTGGTAGGGTATAATGATGCGGATTAGAATACCCTATATAGGACTCCAAGACAACAAGATGATGTGTTTTAAACATCGATAGAGAAGCTATGTCTTGGAAGTCTAAGAAGTAAACGATCCTGGCTCAATCAACTAAGAAATCGGAAATGATAGAACTAGCAATGGCTAGTAAAGAGGAAAGTTGATTGAGAGGGTCACTACAAGAGATTCCCTTATGGGAAAGACCGATCCCTCCGGTAGTTGATTAATTGTGATAGCACCGCAGCTGTTGCAAAAGAAGGGAACCGGTTCTAGAACGAAAAGAGGCGACAAATTCGTCGTAAGCACAGTACTGTAAGAGAACTCCTAACGATAGGAGCAATGAGGGTGGATCCTGTAAGGTCCTAACAGAATCTAGCTGATCCTTTGACGAAAGGATTATCTAGAGAGAAAGTCCAAAATACCGCGAAGGGTATGAGACTTATGCCTACCGAACCATGGATTACAAGTGATGGTAACCCGACCCGATAGAATGGAGATCCCAAGAAACGGGTTCAATGGGTAATAACAAGTCATGAGTAATATTGAGAAAAGTTCATGCATAGTGAAGCATGAATCCCAAAGCCTTGGAGGTTGAATTAAAACTCTTAATGAGATCTATACTCTATGTGGAGTGAAGTACTTTACTTTGGGGGTACTTCTGATAGACTCACCTATGTGAATGTGGGAGTGGGGCCGCTCCCTATGGAACTTTGGAGGCACAAAGTTGCTAGAGCGTTCACTAAACCGGGATAACGTGCATGGCCATAAACGCACGGCCTATGAGAGAATATCACTCAATGAAAAGATCCGGTGTGCTACATTATCTGAGATAGGGTTCAAGACTACGAGTCACCCTTATGAAATCAGAAGTGTAACCACTACGCTAAGGTTCAAATCTTCGCGATACCTTAGCTTATGCCCGATCTTATGGAACTGTTGATGCTCAGAGATAGTTTCAAAACTATTCAAGTGGGGGATTGTTGGGATGAATAGCTTTGAAAAGCTATAAATGAAATTCCTAATTAATTATCCAGTATTTTCTCATAATACGAAAATAAGATGGATAATTAATAAAAGGAATATTATGGAGATAATTAGGAATAATTATCTTCATAAATTATATTTTAATTATGGGAGTAATTATCTCCCTAATTAAAATATGACTTATTCCCAAAGAAAGAGGGAATATTCTGGGTTTTCTGCTCCTATAAATAGGAGACGCATCAGACCCTCTAAAAAGACCTCAAAGGGCAGAAACACGAGATAGAGAGTGAGTTCATAGAGCTCCGGTTTTCGCACAAAACCGATGAGCAACAAATTTAGAGTGGCTGTTTTATCCTGGAGGCGACCAGCTGATAGTCTGCTATGCGAATAACGAGGCAGTGCCGCGAACGTCTTAAAGAGAGCGACCTAGTCCGCGACTCAGCCAAATCGGTAACCCTAATTTTTCTGTTCGGTTTCTAACCATTGTTGGTAGCCAGGATATCGCTTACCCATAACAACGAGGCAGTACTGGAGCTGCTGCTGCTTGTTGTCGCTGCAGCCAGCTCCGGCAGATCGTGCCGCCGTCTCTTCTGCTCCCTCAGTCCCGACATCAGCTGGGTCCGTGTGATGCCACCGAATCGCGGTGTACCAGGCGGGGGAAGATGCTCCGGAGCGGAATTGAGGATGGGAGAGCGGGAAACTAGCGTATGGCGGCGGAGAAGATGGGTAGCAGCTGGAGGTGAAGGAGTTAGGCGACTGTTGGCGGCGGCGTTGGCGGCGGAGAAGTGGGTACGTTTTCGGAGGAAGAAGCTGGAGCTGGTGAGACGGCGAGAAGTGTTGAAAAAACGGGCTAGGGTTTGCGCCATGGCTGGGAGAGCAACTGCAATTGCAAGGACGGTGAGACTCAGACTTCAGAGTGAGAGTGAGAGTGAGAGTGAGAAGGGCGGAGTGAGAAGCTACTGGCAGAGCAACCTGCAAAATTGAGAGAGAGACCCCCACCTCGTCTTCTTTTGTCCTTTTCAATTTCACGCGGGGGTGGGCTTTGCTTAGGGAAGCGAATATTTACTGAGCAGTAATAAGTTCAATTAAAAGGCCAAAGCCCAATACACGAAATGACTGTAAAATGTAAAATGATAAATTTGGCCCAGTTCAATTTCTTCCCTTCTCTGCCCTCTTTAAAGTTTAAACCAGGAATTTGGTCAAAGCCAGTGATCATTAAGAAAACAAGACTTTGTTAACGGAAAGTTAGGCACGACTGAAATGGTTTGGCGCGAAACATTTGGCTTTCCATCGAAAATGGGGATGGGATGGCAAACTGGTAATTACCAACGGTCGAGAAAGTATTTTGATATTCATATCTGCTCCGTAGTAGTTCAGGTTCAGGTCTGTAATTTATTATGGGACATGAGTCGGGTTAGGTTAATTCATATATAAGAGTACGTCACTTAAAAGAAAAAAAAAACTTTAGAAACATTGATTTTTCATTAAAAAAATCAAAAATCAAACTAATAAATGTAGTTAAATTATTCAATAATTTGAGTTTCTCACCTATATACAACTTTATTATAGTTAAAATAAAAGAAAATAAAAGAAAAAAATCTTAGTAATTTGAGTAAAATTTATATGTAATTTAGACAAAAATGTGTTGAGAATAAGATGGATCAGATCGACGAGAGTGTCCAAAGTAAATTTCATGCTAAGCTCATAAATACAACATAGCACAACCTAGCTAGTCTCCAGGTTTTAAATTCGACAAACAAACTTTTAAATATCGTGGTTTTATAGACTTTGTCAAAATTTTCTACTTTTCAATGGTGCGATATGGTATATTGGAATTATGATTACCAAACAACACTAAAAACCAATTTGGCATCTCAATTCTGATACCCAAATATTTCGTTATGATATTGATATGTATGACATGTAATTAGCTTTTTGTAACTATGAACCAAAATTAAAATAAAATGTAAGAATAGGTGGTAAATCACTTTTATTTTATTCTATAGATTTAGAGTCACATAAAATTCTCCATTTCCTAGTCATTAAAAGAACGAAGTAGGTTCAAATCTTAGCCTTGGGACCTACCATCAATGAAAAAACAAAGTCTTGTTTATGTATCTAGAAGAACGAGTACCTTGGTTCATTGTACACATGTATGAGTTGCACTGACAAGTTACACATGTTCAACAGTGATTTGGTTGGGATGATATAACTTGAACAAATCACACGTGTTATTGTTCGGGATTAAGACTAGGAAAATTGATCATACTTTTAGGGAAATCGTTGATCAAACTGGACCACACAATTTGATTTGGATAGCAAACAGTTAAAAATGGTATGGTTTGGTCATTGGTACGTATTATAGAACGTTTTGATCTCTTGATCTAGTCTAGACCGCGATTTGCCGTATTAAAATTGGACCCAGTTCACATGCTAATCCGTGTTAGCAACTCACTCGACCACTCTCCTATTCCATAACGAGATCCAAGTCTCAACCCTAATTTTGCAATTCTCGTTCACTCCTTCATTAAGAAACCACACTCCGCCAGAGATACATTATGTTAATGTTGAGTTGCTATAACTTTGTGTTATTTACTTGTATTTAGGATAACAAAATTTTGTATGCATGTTGAAATTTTGTGTTATTTTGTTATTTATCGTTTGGTCGACTAAACAAACTATTATTTTTTGCTCAATATGGTATCGATATTATCTCAAATATCAATACCAAACTTTTAGCCCATCTCTTCAAACATTACTCGCATTCCAAACCCATGTGAAGGTACCTCGTCACGCATTACCAAACCAGGGCCCAAGCCCCAAATGTGTGAAGAAGCCACCAAAGCACTTCCATGTACAATACCAAAACCTTGCTGCCTATGGCAAGAACATGTCAATGGAAGAAAAGAAGAGTGAAGGTAAAGTAAAGATGAACATCCAATCACCCCTCGCAAAGAAAGATTTGTTGGTGGGGATTGGATAAACTATGCAGGCAGCATTGAAAAAAAGAAAGTAGAACAGTTAAAAAGAGCCACCAAAATTCATCTAAACATTACCACAAACACCCACATGAACTGTGCTTTCTTGGTTTCTGCTGTTAGCCCTTCCCCTTGGTTCCCAATTTATATAACCCTTCATCTTCTTTATACATGCCTTAGAAAGAAAACATAACAAAAACCCAATTTAGCACTTATCCTCAAACCCATTGGGTAGCTGTTGGAGTGTTCCCTTCTGCACTATTTTTCACTACTTAGTGAATGAGAATTGTGGCAGCTGGTAGAGGTGACTTTGCCAGAATGAAGCAGTTGCTCCAACAACATCCCTCCCCCGCTGCATCTGGCACTGCATCCAGCAGCATTGGCTCGTCCGGAGGCAACAATGATCGAGAGGTTCTGGGTTCGAATAGTCTTTGGTGCTACGTCAAGGAAATGGACTTCAACCCTGCTCGAATGGTAAATGTGCCTAGAAAACTTGTTGTTTTTCATCATTGTTTAGTCTAATTAGCATAAAAAATGTTGATTGAGGGTTTATCAAAAAAATTGGAATGGCGGCAGATTTTGGCGGAGATGATGGGAACTTTCATATTGATGTTCTGCGTGTGTGGGATCATTGCAAGCACCCAGATACTCAAAGGCCAGGTTGGGCTGTTGGAGTATGCTGCCACGGCGGGGCTAACCGTCGTCGTGTTGATCTTTTCCATAGGCTCCATTTCCGGCGCCCATGTCAATCCCGCCGTCACCATTGCCTTCGCCGCATTCGGCCATTTCCCCTGGCCCAGGGTATACACAATAATTAACCTCTGTTCTCTGTTGAAAAAACATTTACATTGCTGACTTCAAGATTTGAACATAGTGTAACGTTTCGATTTTTCGACAAAAAGGTTCCGTTCTACATATCGGCTCAAACGATCGGTTCGATCCTGGCGACATACGTCGGGAAGTCGGTCTACGGGATCGACCCGGAACTTATGGCTACTAGACCGCTTCAGGGCTGCGTCTCTACCTTCTGGGTTGAGTTCATGGCCACTTTCATGATCATGTTCGTCGCCGCCGCGTTGACTAGCCATGCTCAATCAGTAAGCTAAGAGAAAAGAATCACCCTCAATTTTATTTTGTTCATTGTGATTCGAGTTCGAACATTGAGGGCAATTTTGCTTTTCAGGTGGGTTACTTGTCTGGATTGATCATCGGAATGTCCATCGGACTCGCGGTGCTCATTACAGGGTACGCACAATCCTTTGAAACCCTCTTATCATATACGACTCGAAACAATTTAGTTTTAATTTCTTTTGGGAAAACAGGCCGATTTCAGGTGGGTCAATGAATCCGGCGAGGTCACTTGGCCCGGCGATCGTGGCGTGGAACTTTAAAGACATATGGGTATATATAACTGCGCCGATCGTGGGAGCTCTGGCCGGAGCTGTGACTTTCCATGCCCTGAACCTGCGGCAGAGGAGCGTGCAGCCGTGTACAGTGGAGTCGTCCCCGTCGCCGTCGCCGGATAGTGGGTTGCTGGTTCACACCATAGCTTTTGCGGAGAGCTAAAGAGTCGGTTTGGGTTGTGGAATTCTAGTAGTTGAGGATTAGAAATGGTCCCAATCGAGCTGGTTTTTTGTTTTCTAGTTTGTAGTTTGGTGTGGATAACGTGAAAAGTTGTGTAAGAAAGAACATTATTCTCATCAGCCTGGTGGAACTGGAAGGAGATGCTTTTGTTGTTACTATCAGTTTGGAAAAGGGGAATTGGATGGATGTTCATATATATACTTGGTTCATACAAGAACAAGTTGTCCTGTTTATGTGGGGGAAGATATTTGGGGTTCTTAATTTGGTTGTTCGCATGAGAAGTAAATGAAGAATTGTATTATAATTGGTTAGGCTAAAGAATTTAAAGATATTGTGCAAAATAGAGAAAATAATTCTTATACTTGTAGGAATCGAGTCTTCCAACAGTACATGAGTTTAACAGGATCTTCGACTCAATACACTCATCTGAAGTTGATGTGATCTTCTGATAGCTCACAAGTCACAATAGAGGTGGAATTCGGTCTGATTATGGTCAATCACTCCACACTTTGGGGTTAACCACAATCCCAAATAACAAAATATCCCGTATTCTTGTTAAATCCATATAAGTGTCTATATTCTCCTCCAAACAAAAGAGACACAACATTTACGTACATGGAAAACTGGTTTTCAACTTAAATCATTCTCTAACGTTAAAACTTAAAATTCTTCAACTGCTCTCCAAATATTGTCGGGTAAATTGTAAGTTTGATCGCTGAAATTGCTAAATCATTTCACTTTTGTCACTTGCAAATTTTTATTCTATTTACCTTATGTTAGTCTTCATTAACGCCATCAATTTTTTTTACTCACGTGACTAATAGAAATATCTAGTCGCCCAATTTTAACCTGAAAAAATTAAAACCCGAACCGCCACGTCAAAAAGCCTAACCCAACTCGTGAGGAGGTGCGCCCTGAGGAGAGAAGGTTGGAATGATCAGGGGAGATGGATTTCTAGAGGGAAAAAGGATTGAGAATCGTAGGAGATGGGCTGAGAAATAGCGCAAGGGAGGAAGCAAGTTGCCTTAGCCACAAAGAGAAAGCGAAGAACACTACAAGAAAATTGACCTACGGAAACAAATAATTAGACGCAATTATTGTATTATTCTCCAAAACTATCCTTTTGAATCAAAAATATTATTTGCCTCGAAATATTATTATATCTGTCTCCTTTTCATAACATTTTCTAAGATTTTTAGAAAGAAATATTATTTGCCTCCATATGTCATTATATCGGTCTCCGTTTCATAACTTTTTCTAAGACTTTAAGAAAGAAATATCATTTGTCTCCATATGTCATTACATTTGCATATGTTTCATTATATTTATGGAGATAATTAAAATATTATTATAAAATAACTAAAAAGTTTAAACTTATATAATAACTAGCTTTTACCCGATCTATTGGTCGGATGAATTTCATTTTATATTTTATTGTTTTATGTTAATCAATGCATTCACATTTTCATTAAAGACTATTATTGACTCAAAAACTAAAAGTTGTGCCAAGAAAACTCTTCAAGGGACATTTTTTGACAAAGTGTAATATTGACAAAAACTACAGTAATTCACAAATCAGGATTAATTCAAGTACAATAATGTAAGATAACCATCCAGCAAAAATCATTCTCAAACTCAAAGATAAGCATACTGACCATACCCAATCAACATAGAAACGTGTTTTCTTGTAGTGGTGGTCTAATTGAGTTCACCTATAGCTTTGCATATTGCATTTCATTTACTCTCTAGCCCAGTTCTCAGTTCCCATGCCATCATCATGTTCAAATTCTAACAACAAATAACAGCTCACGGAACCGTTAGCTAACCGGCTGGACTAACCTGTGCCTAGTCCATGTTAGGATGGTCTTTTCTTTCGCCCATCAACATCATCATCTACTTGTTGAATGCTCACAGTTTGTTTTGGCTATGAAATATGAGTTATTATCGGAGGGACACGTTCGTAGTCTTTCTATATCATGATACTATCAGGTGGGAGGAAAAACGATTTCATCGTTATTTTTTCTACACCAAAGTGAAATTCTTATTTCCTGGGAACCCAACGACAGCATAACAACACACGCTTAATTACCTTAAAGCATCTTTCATTTATCATTAGGGGCAGGATCCTAAACAAAGACCATAAACCATCGCAAGCTTAATGGAGCTTCAACCGGGAATATAAAGGTAAATTTCAATACGAACCATTCATACTCACTGAATATAAAAATCAATCTAGAATGGAGATTAATACACTTCACATGTGGCCCTTCAACTATAAAGTTCAGGTTAGCAAAACACTCTAACTGTCCACCTACGTTAAAGAAACATCTTTTTCAAAACCATTGTCACAGTAATGGTGCAATTGGAGGAATTAGTAGCATACTTAGAAGCTAGCAAGAGTTTTAGCAGTTCGTATATCTGGATATGCTCAGAGAAACCACATACAATAGTGAAACAAAGTAAATTCATTTATCAGACCTTAAAAAATTAAGTCCAAACATGAAAATGTGTATCAGGTGCAAGCATTATGTATGCTTTTCAGAATTTGTAATGCTTTTTATGGGTGATGGACTTCTAGCATTCGATGACTGAAAAGTTAACCCAAAATCACGACCAATCAACATCCTTTTTTTGCTTCACGGCCAATCTTTAAGGAAATGGATTACCAGAAAAGCTAACCTGCCAACCTTACAGTCTCCGCGACCCCAACGGATGCTTAGACACGATCGAAAGAGCTTAGGTGCGTTGTGTACCAAAACCTTTCGTCAACACGGTTGCTGTGAACCCCAAAGCGGCAGGGGAAAGAAAAACATGGAAAATCAATCCCTTTAAAACTAAACAAAGCCACCATTGCTCATTTCTGGTTTTTTGCACCACTTAGGCAAATTGAAGTAGTTCAATCGACTGTCTTCTCCATCAAATCTAACCAATGAACCCAACCCCAACAAAACTTTACCTGGGGAAAAATCGACCACCGATTGCAGACCTACTATGAAGCTACCATTCCCCATGTGCTTAATGGATTAAAACCTGCACTTCAAACAACAAAAGAGCTCATGTTGCTTTTTAACATGATGCTTTGTGTCCAACTAAGTAGCTAATGAATCGAGATTTCTCATTACAATAGTTTAGGTACAGAGACAGATTTAAGCATTCATAGAGTTAGAAACTTGCTAGCTCTCATAGTTAGTAAAATATGGTACGGGAAAGTTTCGTATAAAATACGTATGGGTATTTTACTTCACTTCTAAGCTAATGTTACGTTTAATAGTACGTTAATAGTCATAAATCTATTAAATTAATTATTTTAAAAATAATTAAAATATAAACAATTGTAAAGTTAACAATTTAATTCATGTAATAAGGATATTAAGCGTGTTACACAGGTTAACTACGTGTTTAGTACATGAGCCATCAAATGAACGGGAAATAATGAAACGGCTTGACAATAATACTGATACGGAAGTTTTAAACATATAAAATACGTACGGGTACATATACGTGTATTAAACGAAGTATTTACTAACTATGCTAGCACTATGTCATGAACTGGGCTCTCAATATAGATTCACCATGATAAGAACAATGATAATTAAAACAATCCCTAGGAAAATAAATGCTTATCAGAACCATTTAGCTTTTGATTTAAAAATTTGAAAAGGTAATAAAGACATCGCTTAATTGGGACATTAAACAAAACTGGATCTTATGAAAACGAAGAGTATTTCCTAATTGCATTAAAGCTAATGACCAAAAGGCTATCAATCTCACCTAAAGTTGTATAATCTTGTAATTCTGGAACTTGTAAAACCAAAGGCTAGCCCAGCATACAACCCGAGGAATATCAAGCGAGCCTTTTGAAACCAACAATCAAATGGCACACGTATAAAAGAGGTAAATGAAAGGGAAAACTCCCTTTTAAAGCACTAACATCAAATTGAAAGTACCTCAAATTGGTGATTACACACTTACACTTGAGCCTGCTAAATAATCCCTTAACTCTGCCTCCATATCGATTTTTGGATGTATCAAGTTCATGGGAGCAGATCTTGTCAGTAACTGATGGGTCAGTAACCCATCAGTAACTCATTTTCTAATCTCCACGTGTCAGTCCCCTTTTTTTATTTAAATTAAATGCGGAAGGGCAGTGAGGTAAAATTGCACTTACCCCTATTTATTGCTGACGCTGACTTTTGACCGGACCACTTCAGCGCCTCCTCTCTCCTCTAAAAATCTTTAATTTTTCTTCTCTTAATCTTTAACGGACGATTTCTCACTCGTTTTAAGTCGGAATTTAATTTTTTTCACAGTTAGATCAGATTAATTGTGCTCTTCAAAATGATATCCACTTTGATATTTTTTGGACATAACATTTTTTTCCAGTTATTACCAGTCTATATCATATGGTATTGACTGGTATTAAATAAGACCATACCACATGGTATGGTAATATTTGCCACATCAATATATATTTCGTTACCACCCAATGCCATATGGTATAGTGTGGTAATATCACACAATTCACACAACACCATATTGTATAGAGTGGTAATATCAATATATATTTCGTTACCACGCAATACCATACATTACCATAGGGTATAGTGTGGTAATATCAATATATATTTCGTTACCACCCAATACCATATGGTATAGTGTGGTAATATCAATATATATTTCGTTACCACCCAATACCATAGGGTATAGTGTGGTAATATCAATATATATTTCGTTACCACACAATACCATATGGTATAGAGTGGTAATATCAATATATATTTTGTTACAACGCAATACCATAAAATTATCATAGGGTATAGTGTGGTAATATCAATATATATTTCGTTACCACCCAATACCATATGGTATAGAGTCATAATATCAATATATATTATCTAAAAGGAAAAAAACAGAAGGAGGGAGAGAAAAAAATCGTCTTATGATGCCTCTCATTTGCTCTTCCTCAATCAAGAACACCAAAATGCCAAAAAAATGAGAAAGATCGGAATTGAGTCCAATGAGTTGATGAAGAGAAGAAATGCAATGAAAGAGAGTGGGTACAATTTTTTATCCTAGAGGAAAAAAATGAAGAAAGAAGAGAGCAGATCTAGATTTGAAAAGGATATTGTGAGAGAAAAAGTAAGAGAGAATGATTAGAGAAAGAGAAAAGATCTGGAAAGAGATTGAAAAAAAGGAAGAGAGAAGGAAGAAAGTTGAGTTGCAGAGAAAAGACCATTCTCTCTCTTTCATTGAAAAGCCAGCCATTGAAATGCGGAATAAAAAAAAATTAAA